TCTAATGAACATTTTCTAAAGATTTAAAAAAGGGCTTAAAATTTAGTCATCCAAATTCCAAATTCTAGGTAAACATATTAACGAACTATTTATTCTAATGAAAATTTCCAAAAGATTAAAAAAAGGGTTTGAAATTTAGTCCTTCAAATTCTTAGTTTATTCAGGACGTATTCCATAGTTAATGGCCTGTTCCAGTACTCATGGGAAAATCGAAAAGAATTTTAATTATTAGAATATTCTTGCAGGTTCCGGAGCAGATCAATAAAATGTTTGTAAAAATTTGTCCATTGACAGATGGTATTCTGCAATAATAGCGCAATATCCATAAAGATTCTACACAGGACCAGTGTTTGTACTTGCAACGTTGTCGTCAATTTGTTAATTTTTTTAATGAATTCCGGATTTGAGTTTCGAACTATATTTCAAATATAAACAATAACAAAAAAGGTCTTATTTTAGAAAAACAAAAATTCCAGGTGATCGTTTAGGTTTAGCCTTCTTTTAGAAGTTTTTTATTTAGTTATTTCTTTTGTTGTTTTTGTTTCCATCATATTGTAACGAATTGAAAATATTTTTTTGTTGTATGTATATGCAAAAAAATAATAGTGTATAAAAATTAATTACAGTTATACTCATATATGTATACGGACAAATGAATATATGATCGTTTTTAGGCGCTCTTGTTTATTTTTTATTTTGTTTATTCTTCGGGGACAGTACAGGCAGTCAAATTATTCAAAAACAAGATGCATCATGCTTGAAATTCTGGTGACGGTGGTGGAGGTGGCAGCTGCAACCAAAGCTGTTGCAGCTGCTAGGCTATAAAACAAACACACATCATCATTATCATCTAATCATTCCCATTCTGTGGTACCGGGTGGCTTCGATGTCAAATCGTATAGGACACGAGAGATTCCATCGATTTTGGAAATTTCTTGTACCATTTTGTGAAGGACCTTTAAAAACACAAAAATAAAAAAAAAAAAATAAAATAAAATTTCTCAGAAATTTAGTGTTCGAATGATCAATCTTACCGGCAATGGCATATGCTCGGAACCGGGTATAGCCGGTACCCCAGTCATAAAGTCACTGGTAATGAATGGCCTCAACACAATCGATCGACTACACGAGGGTGTACGATTAATGGGATCACGATCAAAATGCACTGGTATCAGTACAACGGGCATCTGTGATATCTTACGATAAAGACCAGCTTGCATAATAATCTGGAGGAGGGAATTAGGAAATTTAATAAAAAGAAAGTATGATTAAAAATGTTAAAGACAATAAATTTTTAATAAACAAAATATTTAGATACCCCCACCTTTAACCACACACACATTGCTACTGGGCGGGTATTACGTCTGTGTAATTGTAACCATTTTTGTCGAGAGTTCTGATATCAGAATTTTTTCGAGATTTTCTATTATTTTTCCGATTATTTTTCGAGTAATCTGAAGGCAAAATTTATTGATATCCTCTACCGTTATATCCGAATAATATGCACCTATTCTAAAAGGAAATTTTCGAATGTCTCATTAGATTTTTAACGAAATGGGTTTTTAATTGAAAAACAATTTCGGCATCAGAACCGGAAACTTGAGCAGGGTTTCGTTCAGAATTCTGAAAAATGGAACAAATTGGGTATCACGCAGTAAAAAAAAACAGATAGACAACAACTAATTGAGAACGTAATTGGTCAAAAACTAATCTGGTTTGTCTGGACAACTGACGTTCTTCAGCTGCGATGGGTAGAGGGTGAGCTCCGAGGACGGCATTCACTCTGTATTTATTCAGCGCTGCGGCAACTGCAACAGTATGAATGTTATTCAGACCTGTCCGATTAGAAACTTGATATAGAGGCTTCCTTTTATAACATTAGACCTCTCTCTCTAGGTAATGCAGATCCTTCCTGACACCCCTGGGTGGGGGAGTTTTATCCGACATATGATTTTTAGGATGACTATTCCTAAATCACCAAAGCAGATTCTACAACGAAAGCACATTTCTATGCAGAAGTAAGGGAAGGATCTTTGTCTCCTCAATTAATATGGTCACAACTGGTTTCATGAGAAGGCACCCTGTTGTAGTTCTCAGGGCGGCGTTCTGACAGCTCTGCATACTTCTCCATTGCAAAGCATAACACGCATGTACCGCATATGTGGCCGAAGTTTTAGTGACGGATATTTTCATATTTTTCACGTGGGAGAAGGCTGCTAACTCGGCGTGATATGCGTTCAACCTTGCACATTTATGCACAATGATAGAACTCGACGCCATTATGGTACAATGGTGTGTAACCCTGTTTTGTTGTGCTGTGTTGCTTACGGAAACCATGTTGGAGAGCGGGGCTTCCAAGTCCTTTATGATCAATATGTTCATTTCCTTAATTAGAAGGAAGAAACTTTGATTACCATATCATTCCATAAACCATATCACGTTTTGATAGCCAAGTCTGAGAAAAAATTGAAGCGCTTAGGCATTAACAAGTCTCCTGACTGACAATACGTATAACGAAGCTGATGGACACGAAATCGTCTAAATCCCTAGTGTTAGGTGATCTAGGACCGATGAAATCCCACATCGAAAATCTTGGGATCATAGACAATCGGTTCTCCGATGTCTGCCCGAGATTGATTTTTTAAATTATTAAGATTTTCACTATGCACAACCTGTGAACGCGTTTTGATAACATTCAGTTCTGTCCCATGTAGGCATTTAGTTTTCATAGACTCCCACAACTGCAGCCAGTATATTCTGTAAATTTTGTAATAATAATTTTAAATACTTACTTCATTTGCCACAGCATCTGCCTGCCTCAGTTGTTTAATGACGTAATTATTCAATGTTGTATGGGTAATATCGGTTATCTGATATTGAACGGGATCGCCGAAAACATAACAAACCCGATTGACATTGTGTAAGATACGTGGTATAAGTTTTGCCAAAAATAGCATATCATACCAATTTGGTTCGCTGGCACTTGAGAGAGCCACGACATAGCTGTAAGTGCGTTTATCGCCTAGGTGAACAAAGGAGAAGAAAGGAAAAAAATAATGGTATAAAAAATCCAAATATAAAAATTTGTTATTTACAGTTTTCGATTTTTCAAAGAGATGTTGTTCCTGAAGAAAAAAATACAAAAGGAAAATTCAAATTTACCTTGAACACCCACAGAACGTATGGGTAAAACTGTGGCTTGGATTTGGGAAAATGAGGAAATTGCAATAAGTTTGTGTTGTTCCATTTCGCTGGTGGCGCCAGTGACACGATTTATTAAAGCATGATTCTTTTCTAATTTATTTTTATAGTCAACAATGACACGGGCAATGACCTAACGTATTAAAAAATATACCAGAATTAGAGGCTACAAAAAGAGTAACAAAATAAATTCCCCATACCTGTGTCTCGGAATAATCCTTTTCAATAAATGGTTCCTCGGCACACAGGATACGTATGGCCAAACCGGGGCCAGGGAATGGTTGCCTCTCCACCAACTCAGCGGGTAAACCCAAATCGTTGCCCAATTCTCGTACCTCATCCTTGTGGAAATCACATAAAGGCTCTACAACACGGCCAGCATTGCGTAGCTCTCTGTAGAAAATCAAAACATATTACACGATACCCAATTAAAGAAATCATTGAATGTTACCTTATCAAATCTGTATCATTATGATGAGTTTTAATTGTCTCGGCATTTTTACTAACCATATTCGATGCGGATTCAATTAAATCCGGTCTCAATGTGCCCTGAGCCAACATTACCTCTTCCGGTTTCAATTTCATTTCGGACACAATATCATTGGTGATTTTCACAAAAATATCACCAATAATTTTACGCTTCTCCTCAGGATTGATGGTTTGACACAACATTGGCGTTTCGACAATTGAAAATTGCCCGGGCCGCTTAATTTGTGTTGTACCCTTGAGGAACGTATAGGCTTCTTTGCGTACAATTAAATCGATACCAATAGCGACTAAGGATTTCTCCACCTTTTCACTCTCATCTTTACGCATAAAACCATTGTCGACATGTACGGCAATAATTTGACTGGGATGTAAGGCATGTCGTAGCAGGGCAGCACATACCGTTGAATCAACGCCACCACTAACCAATAACTATAAAAAGAAAAAGACAACGAAATATTAATTTTTAATTCTATTTCCGCATTTTTGTTGCAACTCACCAGAACTTTGTTATTACCAACTTTATCCTTGATATACTTTATACATTCCTCCTTGCGGCTGCCCATCGTAAAATTGGGTTTCAGTCCACAAATCTCAAATAGGAAATTTGTAAAGATTTGTTTACCACACACGGTTAGATCGACCTCCGGATGAAATTGTACACCGTATATCTTTAGTGCATCGTTGTAGATAGCTGTGACAATGTTATTCGTAGATCGTCCAGCAACTTGTAACTTATCACCGACACGCTCTACACTATCACCATGTGTAAGGAGGACAGTCTGGGAACGATATAAGTGACTGTAAATAGAAAAAGAGAAAATGCAAAATTTATAAGTGGTAGAAGAAAAAAGCAATAATTTCGAAATTACTATAAAAAATGTACTAAGATCTTAATTACTAGGAAATAACTATCTCATAATAGGCTACAGAATTCTTAACAGATTCACAATCATAAGGCTATGAAAGGATTCCTTATAAACCACTCTGCAGGTAAGATATTGCATTACCATTTTTTTTTTGGTCTAAGGAAAAAATCTTTGTCCCCTCATTAAGGAGTATACGAGGAGACATACCATTGGAGTTCTCAAGTTCTTAATTCTGACAGGTCTGATTTTTTGTACTTACTTAATTCAATTCAACGCCTCATGTTCTGCGGATCAGCGACTTGAGAGCCTTTTTTATACCCTAACCATAAGTGTAAATTAAATTTTAATTCATTTAATTTATTCATTCATCATGGGTAGCTAACGATATTTTGACGGGTGAGGCCTTACGAAATATTTATTTATTAAATCCACGTCCTAAAAGGCTTTTAGATTTTTTAAGAAGTACTATTTTAATAAATCTACGTCTGAAATGCCTGAGGAAATATTATTGTAATAAATCTACTCCCTTAAAGGCCTGTGGAAGTATTTTTTATTATATCTACGCCCTGAGAGGTCTTAAGAAATATTTTTTTTAAATCCACGCCCTGAATGGCCTGAGGGAATATTTTTTTTAATTCACACCCTGAGAGATCTTAAGAAATTATTTTTAAGAGATTCACGTCTTGAAGGACCTTTAGAAAATATATTTTTAACCTATCCACGCCCTGAAAATATTTTAAACCAGTAAGGAAAGTAATAAAGTCGAACTGGGCCGACTATATGATACCCTTCAATACTTTGGGTATATTTTACGTAGTATCCTGACAGACGTCGCCTTTTCGAAAGAACATTGACATGAAATTGAACGAAAGATATATAAGAACTTTGGTGCACCATTTCTATTAAATTGAACGAAAATATATATGGGAGTTATATCTAAATCTAAACCGATTTTCAAACTTAGAGCACATCATAATACACTAAATTCACACTATTTAGAGACTTTGGTGCACCATTTACCTTAAATCGGACGAAAATATATATGGGAGCCATATCTAAATTTGAACCGATTTTCACGAAACTTAACACACATCATTCTACATTCAATTCAGTGCCCTATGGCAAATTTTGTGCCAATCGAAAGGTATATAGGGACTTTGGTGCACCATTTACCTTAAATCGGACGAAAATATATGTGGGAGCTATATCTAAATCTGAACCGATTTTTCCCAATTTCAATAGGGTTCGTCCTTGGGCCATTTGTTTGGCCAAATGAGCTGTACCAGATTTCATCAAAATCGGATTATAAATGCGACCTGTACGTACAATTTAACACCAACAGACGGACGGATGGACATCCATAACTCGACTCAGAAAGTGATTCTATGCATATTCTCAAAAGGAACCAAGTGTCTATCTCGTTTCCTTGTACCACAGGGTAGTGAAGGGTATACAAATAACCAAGCTTTAAACGGAAAATATTCTTTAAATAATCCACGCCTTCCAGGTCCTCGAAAAAAAATCTTTAAATAATCCAGCATTGAAAGGACCTAGGAAAATATTCTTTAAATAATCCACGCCGCCTTCCAGGTCCTCGAAAAAAATCTTTAAATAATCCAGCATTGAAAGGACCTAGGAAAATATTCTTTAAATAATCCACGCCGCCTTCCAGGTCCTCGAAAAAAAATCGTTAAATAATCCAGCATTGAAAGGACCTAGGAAAATATTCTTTAAATAATCCACGCCTTCCAGGTCCTCGAAAAAATCTTTAAAAATCTTATTAGGCCCTTGAAAAAAATTATAAAAAAACCCACGCCCTGATGGGTTCTGAAAAAATACAATTTTTTAATAATCCAAGTCTTGATGGTCCTTAAAAAATTATTCTTTAAAAATTCTTTAAATAATCCACGCATACTGCTCATCGACAAAATATAATAACAATAATTTACGCCCTGATGGGCATAGAAAACATATTCTTTAAATAATCCACGTCCTGATGGGTATAGACAAATATTATTTTAATAATCCAGTCCCTGATGGGTATAGAAAAAATATTCCTTTAATAATCCACACCTTACTGGTCAACGAATAAATACTCTTTAAATAATCCACACCTTGATGGGCCCTCGAAATAAATATTCTTTAAATAATACACACCTTGAGGGTCTACAAAACATATTCTTTAATCTAATATCTACTTATTATTTAATACACTTAAATTAAATTAATTGAATGGAAATCGGTTTGTCAAACCACGTGTAGTCCATTGTGTATAACTTAACACTAATGGAATGTTCTTGGTTTGTTGCCTTGAAATCGGTAAATTAATCTTGAAGGATTGTATCAGCGTTTATTTAAAACATTAAAAATAAACACCTTCTTTTCCTTCGTAACATTTAAGAATAAATAATTAATAATTAAAAATATTGAAAACATGTAAAACCATGTGTATACCAAGGTGAAAAACTTTACATTCATTGGAATAATGGAATGGTCATGGTTAAGTAAATTTAATCTTGAAATTTAATCTTAAAAATTCTTTAAATAATCCACGCATACTGCTCATCGACAAAATATAATAACAATAATTTACGCCCTGATGGGCATAGAAAACATATTCTTTAAATAATCCACGTCCTGATGGGTATAGACAAATATTATTTTAATAATCCAGTCCCTGATGGGTATAGAAAAAATATTCCTTTAATAATCCACACCTTACTGGTCAACGAATAAATACTCTTTAAATAATCCACACCTTGATGGGCCCTCGAAATAAATATTCTTTAAATAATACACACCTTGAGGGTCTACAAAACATATTCTTTAATCTAATATCTACTTATTATTTAATACACTTAAATTAAATTAATTGAATGGAAATCGGTTTGTCAAACCACGTGTAGTCCATTGTGTATAACTTAACACTAATGGAATGTTCTTGGTTTGTTGCCTTGAAATCGGTAAATTAATCTTGAAGGATTGTATCAGCGTTTATTTAAAACATTTAAAATAAACACCTTCTTTTCCTTCGTAACATTTAAAAATAAATAATTAATAATTACAAATATTGAAAACATGTAAAACCATGTGTATACCAAGGTGAAAAACTTTACATTCATTGGAATAATGGAATGGTCATGGTTAAGTAAATTTAATCTTGAAGGATTGCGTATCAGCATTTATTCACAAAAAGAAAAAAATAAACGCTTTTTTTTCCTTCGTAAAGAATTAATAAAAAAGTATTTGACTTACTTAAACAATGGACACGATGGTTCAATCTCAATTGTCTGTTGGCCATCTTCGCGTACATTCTTTTTTAGAACTGTACCACCGAATTCTTTATTTATCAACTGCATGCCATAACAAATACCCAAAATGGGTATTTTTAATTTGAAAATATCCGGATCATAACTGGGAGCATCATCGGCATATACCGAATTGGGTCCACCCGAGATAATAATACCCCGATAACCACCTGCACGTAAGGCATCAGCTTTAGTTTCCAATGGTAAAATATCGGATTCTACCAATAATTCACGAACTTTACGATCAATAACCTATGATGGTGATGGAAGGGAAATAAAAAAACAAAAACAAAAAATGGATGACGAATGTTAGCCATGAGAGAGGGAATGTGATTTAGGTCATTTGCACAAACCAACAAGCTTAATAATACAAAATTTGGAAATATATTTCAATACTATACTACTACATGGCACATACATGCGGAATCTTTTCTCTTTTAATCTAAATAAACCAAATTTTGTATTAATTGCTTTTTTGGTTTGCAAAACAAATGAGACCCATTTGCAAAATACAATACCTTTCCATATTGAGCACCTGCATCTAAAATGGCAACTTTGTCATGACCCACACTATTATCTGAGGATAAAAATTTATTTGTTGCACTCATGTCTTTCTTTTTGCAGCACTGAAATGATTCGAGAGAGAAAGAGAATGGAAATGTTGCAATGAATTGAACTGCATCATGGGGGTTCGTTTGAGGAAGCTATAATAAGCTATATACGATGGAATCTAGCAGAACCATCGACATTTAGAACTAATATTATTTTAAATGTTTACATTGCATTTATTGACTAAGTGGAACTCCAGCTAATTTAGTTAAAAAACTACATCCACAAAGCAAGGTGACCAGCATGTGGGATGTGGACTTATGTCAGAATTTCAGAAGATCTAATTATAGAAGGCCAAAAGAACTTTATATAGAAAAATATGTTATTCTTATAGGAGACAAGTATGTACTCCTATAGATGTCCAGAAGGTCTTATTGAAGGAAACAAGAATACCTTCTTATATATGACGAGAATGTCATTCTATAGAAAACTAGGAAGTCCTTCAAACAGAAGACCAGAAGGTGGTCATATAGAAGACCAGTAGTCAACATATTTTCCCTATATATGGGATATATAAATCAGGCCACTGTAGAAATACAAAATAGGTTAGAACTGCAAATTGACATATTTTCCCGAAAATGCTTATCATTTGTAATCCTCACCGTTTTCCTACAGTGGAAACTGACATATTTTCCCTTTACATAGATTTAAAGTCAAGCCACTTTGGAAATTCCAAAAAGGTTAAAACTTCTGGAAAATGTTGGTTCATACAAAAAAGGTGTAACTCTCCCTATTTTCTTGTTCCCAGTAATACTTAAATTTAAATTTAACATAAAAATAAAAAAATTGATATAAATTTAAATGCATTTTCACGGACATCTTAAATAAGAATATCATATCATAATGGTGAACTAGAGTAACAGATTGAATGGTATCCTCATAACAGATCTGCAGGTCTTCCTGTAAAACGCCAAAAGGTCTTTTTTAGACCGGAAAAACCAGAATATCGTGATCAAAGACCAGGCAAGTTTTTTGTCTATAGAAGGTCCGGAAAGTATTTCTATAGAAGAGCTGAAATATATCTTAGAGAGTAGTAGAGTATAAATATTTTTATTGAATGTCTTCTAGGTCTTATTTTAGAAGTACCAGACATCTGTATGATGCTTAAGTTCAGAAATTCACCAAAACCCTTCATGTATGGATGGTATCAGGGGCACAGGGGTCAGTCTCCCTACTGAATGCAGTTAAGAATTGTTATCACTCTTTCCCGTAATCAATGGGAACCACTTTCTCACATATCCATATTGTAGAAGACACGCCTTTGTAAAGGTCCCTAAAAATATTCTTTAAAATATTCACACCTTAGTAATGAACCCTAAAAATATTCTTTAAAAATCCACGCCTTTGTAAAGGTCCCTAAAAATATTCTTTGAAAAATCCACGCCTTTGTAAAGGTCCCTAAAAATATTCTTTGAAAAATCCACGCCTTTGTAAAGGTCCCTAAAAATATTCTTTGAAAAATCCACGCCTTTGTAAAGGTCCCTAAAAATATTCTTTGAAAAATCCACGCCTTTGTAAAGGTCCATAAAAAATATTCTTTGAAAAATCCACGCCTTTGTAAAGGTCCCTAAAAATATTCTTTGAAAAATCCACGGCTTTGTAAAGGTCCCTATAAAAATATTCTTTGAAAAATCCACACTTTGTAAAGGTACGTAAAAATATTATTTCAAAAGTCCACGCCTTTGTAATGATCCCTAAAAATATTATTTAAAAAATTAGGATTGAAAATAAGAAAAATAAAACTTTTATGATAAAAAATATACCAACCGGCAATACTTTGAAGATTACCCTAAGGAACATTCAATGCACCAAAGCAGCAACAAAACGAAAATAATACAAAAGAAATGAGTGAAGAGACGAAATGGGGTCACTGCAGCACATACAGGTCGTCGCCAGTCAAAATACAATACAGCTATAGCAACACAACACTTTTCACCAAATTTAATAATAGTATTTTTTTAAATATTATGACTACATATGATTTGAAATTCCGCAACTACTATACAAATATGAAATGATGGCCACTTTTTAAAGCACGTTATACTGTTACTACTTTTGAAGGATTGTATTTTCATTCACTAAAGAATAAACGTTTCTTCATAATTACAGCACCAACAATGTTTCGGGGATAGCGCCGGGGGTTATTCACAATAAATATGGAAAAACGAAATTTTTAGGCAGGCAGTAAACACATAAAACAATATGAAAAAAATTAAATGACATCAATTGTTGATTGCATTGCCAATATTCCGATGTTTTTTGTTATTTCAGTTGTCGTTATAATTTATATTTTATTTTCTTCTTTTTTAAATATTCTGCGATACTTTGTGGACGTTTTCGTTCTGTTGAAAGTGAAAATATGTGTTACTAAATCAAAATATTTGCGAAAAACGAAAATCATATGATTGGGTCATCATCATCACCAACAGCAGCAGCAAGAACACCACCACCAATCATCAAACCGAACAACAAAAATTACTACGCTACACTAGAGAATATCCAAAATAAAAAAAATGACAGATGTCGAGAGTGTATATTGTTTGGAGCCAATAAAACAACAAACATTTGCAAAAAACACAACCAAAAGTAGACCGACAGAATGAACAAACAGCAAATAACAAAGAACGGATGACACAACGGGCAGCAAGCAGTATATAATATTGCCAGAGAACAACAACAACGACGACGACGCCAGTAATATGCATTTGAAGGAAATCAGTGCAGCAGCAAAGAACGCACAAATCCGCCATAAAATTGAAAGGGGAAGCCAAACGAAAAAAGAAATGCAAATAAAAAAATTGGCAAACTCATCCAATAATGATGACCGAGAAATTTTGGTTTGAAGAATGTCAAAGCACAAGCACATAACTGATGAAAGTCGAAATAAAATAACAGGAAAAACCCATGAAATATTGGGCGCTCAAATTTAAATCGCAAAACACATTTGCCGGTAGGTATGGATTGATCGATTTCTTGAGCTTGAAGTTAAATTATACTCCAATGTAAGGAGTAAAAGTCAACTCCGAGAAAAATTTAGAACTTGATCTTATTTATAACTACATTGATTTTGTTATACATTACGACATTGATCTCTATACATATCGAACTGCTCAGTATATATATTTGTATACAAATCAATTGTTCTTTCCAAAGGCCTGTAGACCAATTGATTTTTTTTTTGGGACGTGATGTCTCTATACAGAAATTTCTGTAACTTGGCGATCCCCTTGGTAATAATGTACTATAAATATATGTACTATATATGTACTATAAATCCGATCGAGTCTGATTCATGACGGCAGGTTAGTTTTGCCCCATAGTAGTATGTTACAATTATACGATCCGTAATGCAGAACTTTCAAAATTTAGCTTGCTGCTGCACAAGTTCCAGCTCCCTAAATGGGAACTACTTTTTCTTGATCTATAATGATCTTGATCTATAACAAGCCAATTGAGATCTGTTGTGCGCTCTAGAAATGTGGAGAAAGTTAGAATTAATGAAAGTTTATATTAAACACATTTAGCTTTGTTTCCCCTATGAATTTTGACAACTCCTTCATTGTTCTCCATTCACACCCCCTCAGATCGGTTAGTCCGTTAAGAGTGTCATTTCCCAAGAATTGTTTCCGAAGACATGTAAATGCTGGGCAATGGCACATGAAATGTTTCACTGTCTTCCCCACACGCTTTGCACATGCTGCTACCTTCGTATCCAATCTTGAGTAGATGTGCCTTCAGGCTGAGGTGTCCCGTAAGAATACCCGTCACTCGGCTTATTTCTTTTTTTAGCGTAAGGATGTGGGATTTCTATCAAAGATTATTGTCTAGAATTACTCCCAGATACTTAACTTTGTTTGATATGGCTATCGTTTTGTTTTGGAAGATGGGCTCTTCATACTGACCTATTTTTGTCTTCCTAGTGAAAAGACATATCTCCGTTTTGTCCGGATTTACGTTTAAGCCCCTCGGTTTTTGCCCAATCGTAGGCGAAGTTAAGCACCGTTTCGGCTTCCCTACATAGTAAGTTAGGTTTCTTTCCCCTAAGAAGTATTACAACGCCATTTGCACGCATACGCATGCTGTTTATATGTCAGCGTATCTTTGAGAATACTGCTCTTTACATGGTGTCGATTGTACGTTCCATGGTTTTGAGTAGGAATGATGTTAGGCTTATTCGCCGATATGAATTTGGTGTGGCGTACTTTGCCTTGCCGAGCTTGTGTATGAAGACTACCCTGGCTTTTGCCCGGCTTTCGGTATGTACGTCAACTTTGAGCATAATTGGGTTGCCATAACCGTACTAACGTTGTAATTCTTCTAGCAAACCTAGATCATAGAAAGGGTACAAATCTTAATAATTGGTTTATCCAATATCAAGCGAATGGAAAATCGCTATACCTTTTCAAAATATTAATCGAATGAAATATACGATTTGATCCAAAATTTGGCTGAATCAAGTCCGAAAATCGTATATAGAAGCTTACTTTTGGGTATAGCTAGCATAAAACCAAACAAAAACTCTGAATATTCGTTATTTTGGAAACGGTTTTATGGCAGTACTACCCAATTTTATTTTAAGAGTTTGGGCATGTTCTAAAACCGATTTGGCTGTAGTTTTAAATTACTGCTTTCCATTGGTCACAAATCGAGCATCTCCTGTGTCGCTGTCCAGTTTTGGCTTGCAGAAGGCATAGATTGGTGACAGTTCAGTTTCCGCCATGTCTAACCCTATTGATCCTGCCTTAATCTACAACATCATCAGAAAGTGGCTGCGACAGCGCACCTGCACACTTATACTGTTCATTCTAACTTTTCTTTTATCTCCTTCTTTTCTTCCCCTTTCATCTGAAACATTTCTTGGATGATAACAATGGGCCATTAGGCCTTCAAAATAATGACTGCGCATCTCCAAACCTAACCGGGATGACTTTAATTTCATATCTTGAGTTTCCATTGGATGGCAAATCCGTTTTTGGGTATAGCCCACATAAAAAGCTCTAGGGTTTTAATGGATATTTTGGTGGTCCTAAGTGTATTTTCCCACCCAAGTCACTACATTTTACAATTACAAAGTGACATTCCGGGAACTTGGTGGATAACCAACTTCTTTACAGAACATTATAAATTCACATGTTTCCATAGTTATTTGATATTAAATGCAAAAAAAAAAAAAAAATACAAACAGATTATACTTTCTGAAACACTAAAGAAGTTTATTATCCATAGGGAAAACTTAAATAAACTTCATTCAGGTTGAAAATTTTAAAAGTGGTCCTTGAGTCTCCGATTACAACAACAGATTTTTATTTAAATACCGAAAATATTATTGCAAACATCGGAACACATTTTCTTTCGGACCCCTTCTCAGAAAAATCTAAAAATATTGTTTCCTGATTACAACAACAACTTTAAATTGTAAACATTTCATAATTCTCCTTTTTTATGATTTTATAATAAATCACATTTTTTTAGATTTACATTTGTTCATCAGATTTATAGGGCCTAGTCTGTCTTATCAATATTATGTCCAAAAGATAACCCCTTTGGCTTCCTAACAAAATATGTTGTTTACAAAATCGTGTGACGATTTGCAAATATTGTTGCTATACATTAAAATGCAACAACAATTACTATTACATATTTATATACCAAAATATTAGCAAGGCAATTATTAAATAACACATTTTTAAAAATCTTTAAAATATTTACAATTTTCTTTTACAAAAATAATAAAAAAAACGCCATAAGACAAAAACATCTCTGAGGTGTTCGAAACACGTGTTTGTTTAGGCATGACAGACGACGACCCTCCATATGAAACATCAATATTATAATAGCCCCCTGTATGTAACATGTGAATACCGCATATACATATATGTATATCGATATAAACGTGTATAATTGAATGTATGTTGGAACTAAAATTCCACACGACTGATACTGAAATACTACAATGATGGTCAAATGCACACACACAATATTTAGCCGGTTCCAGAGATTACAATTTGTGTTTGTTTGTCTGATTGATTGTTTGTTTGTACCTAACACAAAATTGATATCAATTACATTAAAGAACACAATTATTTTTTATATTCTTCGGAAAACATTTCAACACTCACCTTTCTGCTTCTTCTTCTTATTCGTAAATCTCTATTCCTTTAAATCCTTTGCAGTTTTCTTTCTTTTTTGATTAAATGCAATTTTTTGTATTCCAAACTTATCTTGGCGAAAAAAATTCACAAAATTCTTTATCTCTCCTCTGCAAAAATGAAAATATGATTATTTTTGTCACCGATTATATCGCTGTGTGTGTACGAGTGTATGTTGTTGTGGGCGAATTCTTTCTGCAGAAGCATTTATTGATTTCTTTAAACTTACACAATTATTTTCACAATAAATAAATAATTAATTTTGTAAATTTCAATTTCCTCACATTGAATTTATTTTGTTTTCTTCGCAAGATATTAGCTAGGTTCTGTCTGTGGCCATTTATTCGCCGTTTTCTTCTCAACACAATGCAAAAAAATTGGATTCTATAAATCGATGTTGAACTATTGCGATTAATCGTAGTCGAAATTAATCGTTTCAGTTGTTATCGAAGTTAAATAGAAATAAAGTGGCTTGGCGACTCATTTCATTTCATTTGACTCTATTGAAATTGGAGAAAATCAGTTCAGATTTAGATATAGCTCCGATTTTATGTAAATGGTGCATACAAATTCCAAGGTTTGTCCGATTGAGACCAAATTTTGGACAGCGTTCTGAATTTAGTCCAGTTTGATGTCTGTGATTTTTTGTTGAAATCGGTTCAGATTTAGATATAGCTCCCATATATATTTAAATGGTGTACCCAATTTCTGAATATTCGTCCGATAAAGATGTCTGTGAAGTATTGGTTGGTATTGCTGATGTAAATATTTTGTGTGTTCTATAACCTGCAAGAATGTACATTTTTTTACTACGATAACAAAATTTTCTTTATGATATCGAAGAAAATAGATGTACCATATTCTGTACAGCACTTTAAACCTATCAACATAAACAAGCCAATCGATTAGTCAAAAGTCGACTTTGCTATCCCTACATCAAATCATCTCTGAGAAAAAAGGCGCGCTTTTCTCAAAGGCACTTTCCCAGGAAAATAGACCACCATCATTACTATTGTTTGAGCAGTTCGCTATTGTGGCCAGAAGAAACAAAAAAACGTGAGACAGATCATCAACAGCGAATCAAAATTTTCTACAAATGAGTCCCCAAGAGAAAACCAACGATGAATCCATTGACGATGATGCAGAGCTGTTAGCCTTGGAAAAGATTCTCAGTGAAGCTGAGCAACAGGAAAAAGTGAAACCTGCTTTAAAACCCCAAAAAGACAATGACAAATCAACGACAAGAAGGAAAAATACCATTGACGATGATGCAGAACTTTTGGCTTTGGATAAGATACTTGCCGAGGCTGAGGAAGAGGCGAATGAAACATCTTTGGTAAAGGAAAATCCAAAACCAACTGCTACAGTACCACGTTTAAAGGAGGATAGCACATTTGCCGATGCCTTTAGCTATGAAGTGGACACAAAATTGGCCAAGAAGGCAGCCAAAGAGGCTGAGAGTCGCATGGAGGAGGTCGACTCATCGGACGACGAAGAAGTTCGAAATTTCTTGGAAAGAAAATACAATGAATATGGTTCGGATGTTAATAAGAAATTGAAGGAGCAGAGCAAAGCCAGCAAGGAGGCTAGAATTGAAAAAGAGGTAAATGCCATGATCAAAGAAAAGGAATCGGGTGGCGGTGGAGGAGTAACCAAAGACTCGTTAAATATGCATATTAAAAATCCTCATAATCCGGTCAAAAGGCAGGCCTTGATTACCAACACGTTTAAGGCAAAAGTTGAGAATTCCTCGACAGCTGGATCATCTGCAAAGGAGCAGGCCTTCTTGTCCAGTGGCAGCTCGCAGGGTTCTGTGTATATGGATCCGGTATTTGGTTTGCGTATTATTAATCCTTTGGTCTCCAGTTCTTTGCTGAAGGAGAGAATGGCTGGGCGGCAACCTGTGGCTTTTTCCGCAATTGCTTGTCACACACAGAGAGGTGATCTCTCGAAAGATTGGGTTATTGGTGGAGTATTGACGCACAAGGGTACCACCCAGAAGACCAAAAAAGATAAACCCTTCTGCATTTGGCGTCTAAGCGATTTAAGGGGTGAAATTAAAACGGTCTCATTGTTTTTATTCGGCGGCGCCTATAAGGAATTGTGGAAGACAGCCCAAGGGACATGCCTGGCCGTATTGAACCCCACTGTTTTTGAAAAACGTGCTGAAAGTACCGATGTTGCTTGTCTCTCCATTGACACTGCGGCTAAGGTTATGATTTTGGGTCAATCCAAAGATTTGGGTGCCTGTAAGGCGGTGAAACGTAACGGCGAAGTTTGCAATGCCCTCGTGAATTTGAGTGAATGTGACACCTGTGTTTTCCATGTCAAGCAAGAATTTTCCAAAATGTCCAAACGGTCAGAGTTACAATCGGCAAATGCGGGGCGTGGCTTACAAGATTTGCGCAATAAGGTATTGGGAAAATCTGAGGTATTCTATGGTGGTCAATCGTATACCGCTGTTCCAGCTAAAAAGAGTGCCAAATTGTCTTCGAAAGATAATCAAAGGTTAAGTAATTTATCGGAATATGCCATCTCACCTTTTGCCGGCAGTGTAAATCATGAATCGAAACCCAAGACGGGGGTGACAACCATACCCTATGCCGCACGAGAGGGTCCGGTATCAAAAATTGCCGGAAATGTTGAGGCATGTCGTAAACAACGTCTCAAAGATTTGGAACGTTTACAGATTCTGCAGGCAGAATCAGCCAGGACAGGAGCATCATCACCATCCACCCCCGGCCCTAGTACACCACAATCGAATAAAACCAGGGACTCGATATTTAGTAAGCAGCAAACGAGTACACCCTCAGTGGGTAAACAAATCTCACCCACTTCATCTTTTTCGGGTTCACCATCCCCCTCATTCTCAACGGCTGCTGATAAGTTTAAAAATCGTGAATTCTCCTTCACCACCAAATCTCCAACCTTGTCCAAAGATAATTTTTCCATAGAGGTGAATATTGGCGATAGGCGGGCCTCCCTGGCCAAACAGAAGGCTCTGGAAATTCTCAAAAAGAAACCCATACAAAAGGTGGATCCCAATTCTACACGTGGCACGAGGGAGGGTAAACGACGGGCTATCGATGATCTCAATGAAAAATTCATGAGCAATGATGCCAAGAAACAGAAGCTCGATGAAGAGGAGAAGGAAAAGGAACGCAAAAGTCGTATACAACGTATTATGGATGCCACCTCGTCGCACACCAATCTCATCGATATGCGTGAACGGGAGGAACAAGAGAAATACTTTAGTAAGCTGGAAAAGAAGGAGGCGTTGGAAGAGAAAATGTTATCGACCTACAAAATGGCCTGTAAGGCTGTCATCTGTAAGACCTGCAAATATACTGCATTCTCGGCGGCGGAACGTTGCAAAAAAGAGGGTCATCCTTTGAAAGTGGTCGATGCCGAGAAACGTTTCTTCCAATGTAAAGATTGTGGTAATCGTACGGTATCGGTATTTCGATTGCCCAAGACTTGCTGCTCCAATTGTAATGGTTCGCGTTGGGAGCGTTGTGCAATGATACGTGAACGTAAAGTGGCCACGGGAGCTCAAGAGCTGTCGGTGCGTGGTGATGAGGAAATGTTTATTGGCTCAATTGCGGGTAAAGCTAATTTGAATCTTGCTGTTCCCGATGATTAGGTAATTTTGATAAATTTATTTTATTGTATTATTAGTTTAGAAAACCGAGATGAAAATTGTATTAGTTGAAAGTAATTGCATTTAAGTAGAATATTTTTTAGAAGTTGGTTTAATATTGTTATAAGATTTTATAATAAAAAAAAAAAAAACAAAATATGACAATAAAATACTATGTGGACCCAATTTAAATTGTACAAAAAACATCGAATATTTTTATTAAAAGTTCAATATAAGGCGTGGAATTTTTAAAAAATATTTTTTTCAAAGGCCAGAAAAGGCGTGGATTTTTTGAAGAATATTTTTTTCAAAGGCCAGACAGACAAGGCGTGGATTTTTTAACGAATATTTTTTTCAAAGGCCAGACAAGGCGTGGATTTTTTAAAGAATATTTTTTCAAAGGCCAGACAGCCAAGGCGTGGATTTTTTTAAGAATATTTTTTCAAAAGCCAGACAGACAAGGCGTGGATTTTTTTAAGAATATTTTTTTTTTCAAAAGCCAGACAGACAAGGCGTGGATTTTTTTAAGAATATTTTTTTTTCAAAAGCCAGACAGACAAGGCGTGGATTTTTGAAGAATATTTTTTTTTCAAAGGCCAGGCAAGGCGTGGATTTTTAAAGAATATTTTTTCAAAGGCCAGACAAGGCGTGGATTTTTTAAAGAGTATTTTTTCCAAAGGCCAGGCAAGGCGTGGATTTTTAAAGAATATTTTTTCAAAGGCCAGACAAGGCGTGGATTTTTTAAAGAGTATTTTTTCCAAAGGCCATCAAGGCGTGGATTTTTTAAAGAGTATTTTTTCCAAAGGCCATCAAGGCGTGGATTTTTTAAAGAGTATTTTTTCCAAAGGCCATAAAGGCGTGGATTTTTTAAAGAGTATTTTTTCCAAAGGCCATCAAGGCGTGGATTTTTTAAAGAGTATTTTTTCCAAAGGCCATCAAGGCGTGGATTTTTTAAAGAGTATTTTTTCCAAAGGCCATCAAGGCGTGGATTTTTTAAAGAGTATTTTTTCCAAAGGCCATCAAGGCGTGGATTTTTTAAAGAGTATTTTTTTCCAAAGGCCATCAAGGCGTGGATTTTTTAAAGAGTATTTTTTCCAAAGGCCATCAAGGCGTGGATTTTTTAAAGAGTATTTTTTCCAAAGGCCATCAAGGCGTGGATTTTTTAAAGAGTATTTTTTCCAAAGACCATCAAGGCGTGGATTTTTTAAAGAGTATTTTTTCCAAAGGCCATCAAGGCGTGGATTTTTTAAAGAGTATTTTTTCCAAAGGCCATCAAGGCGTGGATTTTTTAAAGAGTATTTTTTCCAAAGGCCATCAAGGCGTGGATTTTTTAAAGAGTATTTTTTCCAAAGACCATCAAGGCGTGGATTTTTTAAAGAGTATTTTTTCCAAAGGCCATCAAGGCGTGGATTTTTTAAAGAGTATTTTTTCCAAAGGCCATCAAGGCGTGGATTTTTTAAAGAGTATTTTTTCCAAAGGCCATCAAGGCGTGGATTTTTTAAAGAGTATTTTTTCCAAAGGCCATCAAGGCGTGGATTTTTTAAAGAGTATTTTTTTCAAAGGCCATCAAGGCGTGGATTTTTTAAAGAGTATTTTTTCCAAAGGCCATCAAGGCGTGAACTTTTTGAAGAATGCTTTTTTCAAAGGCCAGGCCATCAAGGCGTGGACTTTTAATGGCTAGCAGAGTGATATGCGTGGATTTTTTTAAGAAGACTTTTTAATGGCTAGCACAGTGATTGGCGTGGATTTTTTAAAAAAGACTTTTTAATGGCTAGCAGAGTGATTGGCGTGGATTTTTTAAAGAGGACTTTTTAATGGCTAGCAGAGTGATTGGCGTGGATTTTTTAAAGAAGACTTTTTAATGGCTAGCAAAGTGATAGGCGTGTATTTTTAAAGATTTTTTTAAGGGCTAGCAGAGTGATAGGCTAGTATTTTTTAAAGATGATTTTTTAAGGGCTAGCAGAGTGATAGGCGTGGATTTTTTAAAGATTTTTTAAGGGCTAGCAGAGTGATAGGCGTGGATTATTTAAAGAAGAGTTTTTAAGGGCTGGCAGATGGATAGGCGTGGATTTTTTAAAGAAGAGTTTTTTAAGGGCTAGCAGAGTGACAGGCGTGGATTTTTTAAAGAAGATTTTTTAAGGGCTAGCAGAGTGATAGGCGTGGATTATTTAAAGAAGAGTTTAAAGGGCTAGCAGAGTGATAGGCGTGGATTATTTAAAGAAGAGTTTAAAGGGCTAGCAGAGTGATAGGCGTGGATTATTTAAAGAAGAGTTTAAAGGGCTAGCAGAGTGATGGGCGTGGATTATTTAAAGAAGAGTTTAAAGGGCTAGCAGAGTGATAGGCGTGGATTTTTTAATGGCTAGCAGAGTGACAGGCGTGGATTTTTTAAAGAAGATTTTTTTAGGGGGTAGCCGAGTTATAGGCTTGTATTTTTTAAGGGCTGGCAAAGTGATAGGCGTGGATTTTTTAAAGAAGAGTTTTTAAGGGCTAGCCGAGTGATAGGCGTAAATTTTTTAAAGAAGATTTTTTTAAGGGCTAGCAGTGTGATAGGTGTGGATTTTTAATGAAGATTTTTTTAAGGGCTAGCAGAGTGATAATCGTAGATCTTTCGAAGAAGATTTTTTTAAGGGCTAGCAGAGTGATAGGCGTGCATTTTTAATGAAGATTTTTTTAAGGGCTAGCAGAGTGATAATCGTAGATTTTTCGAAGAAATTTTTTTAAGGGCTAGCAGAGTGATAGGCGTGGATTTTTAATGAAGATTTTTTTTAAGGGCTAGCAGAGTGATAATCGTAGATTTTTCGAAGAAGATTTTTTTTAAGGGCTAGTAGAGTGGTAGGCGTGGATTTTTTGAAGAAGATTTTTTGAGGGCTAGCAGAGTGATAGGCGTGGATTTTTAAAGGTGATAGGCGTGGATTTTTAAAGGTGATAGGCGTGGATTTTTAAAGGTGATAGGCGTGGATTTTTAAAGAAGATTTTTTTAAGGTTGATAGGCGTGGATTTTTTAAAGAAGATTTTTTTAAGGTTGATAGGCGTGGATTTTTTAAAGAAGATTTTTTTAATGTTGATAGGCGTGGATTTTTTAAAGAAGATTTTTTAAGGTTGATAGGCGTGGATTTTTTAAAGAAGATTTTTTTAAGGTTGAATCTTTTTTAAAGAAGATTTTTTTAAGGTTGATAGGCGTGGATTTTTTAAAGAAGATTTTTTTAAGGTTGTTAGGCGTGGATTTTTTAGAGAAGATTTTTTAAGGTTGATAGGCGTGGATTTTTTAAAGAAGATTTTTTAAGGGCTAGTAGTGTGATAGGCTTGGATGTTTTAAAGAAGATTCTTTTAAGGGCTAGCAAAGCCATAGGGTTGGATTTTTAAAACAATATTTTTCTATGCATTAGCAAAGCCATAGGGTTGGATTTTTAAAACAATATTTTTCTATGCATTAGCAAAGCCAATGCCTGGATTTTTTAAACAATATTTTTCTATGGATTAGCAAAGCCAATGCGTGGATTTTTTAAACAATATTTTTCTATGGATTAGCACATCCATAGGCGTGCAAAGGCAAATTGTGTATATAAGGCCATCCTTAAATATTAAGTATAAATAAAAAACAATTGAATTTTGTTTCTAAACGATTAAATATTGTTATTTACATCATACATTATTTTTTTATATTATATTGGTCTCATGTTGTAAATTAGACTAGAAAATGAGATACATTTTATTATTTAATTAATTTATTTTAATATTTGTTTGTGGCAGATAAAATATTAAATTAATATGACTGTATAAAAAAAAAACAACAAAAATGTTCGCTACACATAATTTTTCATATAAAAAATGTCCTTACGAATAGTAGTAGAAAAAAAGTAAAAAAATGCTAAGTTTTGTTCCCCGTTTTAATATCAGAATATATTATTATTCAGATTATGTATACAAATTGGTCTCGCGTTCAATATTGGCATCAGAAGATAAATGAAAACAAAATTCTAAAATCAGTCTATAAAATAGCAGCATTAATTAATCTACTGCATTCCATCCTTCCCTCGCTTCAAAATTTAGGCAGTACTCTCATTTTGTTCATTCATATTAAGTATACTGGAAAATTTAAATGAAATTGTTTTGGACAGTTCAATTTTGTCACAATTCTCGGCCATATTTGCTTTGGCGGTTACATCCATATATGAACGTCCTCGTTTAACCGGCAATGTATACACCTCCCTTGATGGTGTACCTAGAGAAGATTTACGTAGTGTTGCCATGGGAAATCGTAAATCATTTTCATAACGAGAATCAAGGGTACGCGATTCATGTAATGGGCGTGGCATATCATATCCCGGCGGTGGTAGAAAACTACTCGAAAATGAAAATGTATCACGACTAGAACAATCTTGTATATCGTAAAGGACTTTTGGTGGTTTCCACAAATGTTCCAATAGCTTTGATTCTTCATCCTCTTCCACCATATTTTGGGGATTTTCTTCATTGAAGACATCTGAAGGGGCGTGAGATGTTGTTGGACTTTGGATTTCCTCTTCTTGACAATAGGTTGGATTAGAAAATGATTTGGTGTTGGTGCCCATTAATTTTTCAAATTCTGCTGCTAAATATTTGAAGGAGGGTCGGGCATTCGGATCATCCATCCAGCAGGATTGTACCAGGGAGTAGCTGAGGAGAACAAGAAAAATAATATATATTTTTTTAAATTGTTGGGTGATTTCATTGTTTTCTTGCTTACATTTCATCGGAACAGTTTTCTGGCTTTTCCATGCGATAACCACTCTTGAGTAAATGATAGAGGTTTTGTACTGGTATCCCAGGATATGGAGATGCACCCAGTGTTATAAGTTCCCAGCACAAAACACCAAATGCCCAGACATCCGATTTGGATGTGTAAACATTATCCGCCAAAGATTCTGGAGCCATCCACTGTAAAGGAAAATATAATTTAGACAATATTAGATTAATTTATAATACCAGAGCAGATAGATTTGAGATAAAACTCTGTTAGTACTAAAAAA